TACGCCCTGTTTGAACAAAGCTTGGCAAACAGGTTTTTTACCGTTGACCCAGCAAACACCCGGCGGGAACATAGTAAGAAAATCTTCAAGCTCAGGGCACACACATTCATTAGACAAAACTTTTTTCATTTCGGGTAGTAGCTGCGTGGAATGACCTTCCTCCGACGGTTGTACACGCTCCTTCTCGAACCCAATTTAAAGCACTATTAGACATTTATTTATGCGAATCCTCGCGCTGGCGAGCATACTGCCCCGCGCTGAGAACATAAAGAGCAGTGCTACACCCTTTTTTCACTTGTGCCTTTCAGGTGAACGACAGCCAGTGACCGACAAGAACAAAACCGACCCGGGAAACTTGGGCAAAAGCCTCGATCCTGTGTATCAATCCGTGAATCCGTGAAAACCTAGTGGTTCATAATTCCCATTACCGAAATGTGGGATAAATGTATAGTCGTTGCGGATTACGGTGGGTTCATTGATTCGGCATTGGAGGCCTTCGATTTACAATCACATGAATTCCTCGTCATTACGGGATTCGAAAGCGAGGTCTACAAAACGTATGCTAAGAAATTAGGCCTCAAATTGCCGTTCTCCATCAACTCCGAAATTGGACAAAACAGTTTTATTGCGACTTTCTTACGGGGCAGACTAGGCTTGTCCTCCATGGACTGATCAAGATCAACATCAAAGCAAGCTCTTTTAGCTCAACGGTAGGTAGACTGACCGCCAATTAATGGGAATAGTTTAACTTGTACATGTGCACTCACTTGGTGAACGCGCCTGAAGATTTTCTCCACACAGCGGGCAGGCTTCATTGCCGCAGCAATAGCGGTGATATCGAAGTCGATCACGTTGACACCTCCAGTCAGCAGGATCAGTTGGCTGGCCACAGAGACCACAGGGAACAGCGTCGTTTGATGTCGAACGCCACCGTGTTTGGTTGAGGTTGCCGTCTAACACCGGAGGCTGGTTGTCCTGTGGACAAATTGCATTTTGACGCAACACCAACTGGCTTTGGACAATCAGACGGTTCATTCACCCAACAGCTTCAGTTTGCCAACCACCCGATAAGGCTGCTTGTGCAAATGCCCTATTGGTGATGGATCTAGCTTTGGGACCAGAGATGAAGGTACTCCCCATCCGGTAGGTTATAAACGGTGAGCGATCGTTGATGGATTGGAAATTGACCTTTCAGTTTGCCACCCGATAAGGCTGCTTGTGCAAATGCCCTATTGGTGATGGATCTAGCTTTGGGACCAGAGATGAAGGTACTCCCCATCCATCCGGTTATAAACGGTGAGCCATCGTTGATGGATTGGAAAGAAGCGATCTCCTGTATATCAGATTTGGCGTGCATATTCCAATGTGCCCGAGAACCTGATTAGCGGCGTATGTCGTCATCCGGGAAACCAAACCAAAAACGTAGATGTCTCCCTCCCGAATTTCTCGACGGTCACAACAATAATTGGTGTGCATCTCATATTCCCGCATTAGCCATTCGATGTGATGAGCAACCTTTAGAACGGCGTGCTCCAGGCTATCTGAGTGATGCACGTGACTCTCCAAACGCCCGTTGGCGTTCTCCAGGCGGTTGTTGGTCACATTCCCAAAATGTACCAACCCACGTTGTGCATGAATGGCCCACTTTCGAGTGATGTGGAGCCAGTGGGCAGTCAAATAAGAGACAAAACTGGGATCTGTTCGCCTCAAGATTTGCAAATCGTGGCGAAATCTACGGGATTAGTGTTTGGTGCACAGTCACTTACTCAGCTGCATTATCAAAGCGAGCCATGCGGTGGAATATGTGTCGACTGTGGTTGGAAATTGTCTGCAAAAGTTACACCAAAGCTATGAAACATACGTGCTTCCGGATGGCTTGCCGTGCGTGAAAATAGCACAGCATTACGTCGCAGCCAAATACAGCTTTGGCAGCCCGCATCTGTGAAGTCATTTTGTCCATGACGAACGTTTTGACTGCATATTGTCCACCCATCATATCCTTGAACAAGCTGAACAGCTTGCGCAATGGCGCAAAATGCTCGCTTTCGACAAAGGCATACATTACGGGTCGACCGATCCCCATGCCATCTGTCACAAGGAATGTATAAAGCTTGTAACTTAACAGCGAACGTCAGTGGCTCGAAATTTATTTACCCAAGACGGTTAGTACCGTGTGTAGCATCAACGTTTACAACGTCCGGGAAACGTCTAAAGAGTGCTATCTGCTGCGTTCGAGAAAAGCACAGGTGACTATATCTGCCACCCTCCGATTCCACCAGCAGCACGCGACCGCACTCTCGAAACTTGGCTATGATGGACGACATGTCATCTAAGAAACCAACTAAAAGGTAACCAACGACCTACTTAACAATGGGGGTCGACACTTGACGCGATAGTTACGCACATCCTTGATAGTGAGTACCTTTCCAAAGTGGTCGGCGACGTACTGCCGAATCTCCGATGAGGGAGCACCGTATTTCAAAAGGGTAGAACACTCCTTCAATTCATCATTTGTCAGTCGCCAGTTGATGGGGAGCCTGTCAAAAATAAACTTGCTGCGTGGATGGTTGTGCTCCAGGTAGTAGGAAGTAACCCTCAAGCAGTCATGGTACCGGCGAACGTGGAACCTTGCCGGACAATCAGTACGACGTGTGCTACAACGTACACACAATCAACCATGAACTTACTAGGTGCGACGAATTCCACGGCTTCTGCTTCGTCTGCAGGGATGTCTGCTGCAACGGTAGAAGGCTTTTTCATACAAAAGTAGCGAATTGCTGCTCTTTTTGTAGTTTATACTTACGAAAACAACGAAATGTTTCGTTTGGTACTCTTTCAAAGCGACTTGAAGTGCATTGAAAGAGAAGAAACTTTGACGAGCTAAATTCTCCACAAAACCATCCTCCGCATTCGCGTGCTCAGCCATATCAGCCATTTAAAATATGATTATCGCGAGCCTTGAATATCATGGGGATTGAGTAGATTAAAACAACTTTCAACAAAACTGCGGCCGTTTGGGAAGATCTCATACGCCCGGAAAATTACCATCAAATGTTAAAAATTTATGTTAAAGTTTTCCTCCTTCGAAACACAGTTTCAGAGAAATTTTGGGTGTGCGTCTAGCCCACGGCACGTTTCTAATGCTTCTAGTGCTGTTGTTCAAACAGCGCGCTTAGTTTTCCGTTTGCGATCACTCGAGGTTCGGAAACCAAACCAGTCCGCAAGGTTGCTACTAGTTTTAGTCGGTTTAACTTATTGTTTTTGTTCATCTCTTTGAAGTCCCGGAATATATAGTTGTTTTTCTGAATTCGGGAACTGTTATACAGCAGTTTCCTCACTGTCATTCCGCTACCGTCTTTCTCCGGCTGACTCTCCATGCTGGTCAATCTTAGGCAAACCGTCGGGCAGTGCGTAATGCGGTGCGTGTGTTTCTTTTTTGGTAACTTGTTTTTTGTGATGAGCATGCAATATGAAGGTGCATATGTTTGATCTAGTGTTGTGGAGGCCTGACTTGCTGCGTCGACGGTATTCGGGACCACCACGGCACTCGACCAAACAATGCCCACAGTGATCGTGATTATGAGAGCTGATTTTGAAGTTTATCCGCAATGGTTGTGTGTTGGTGCGCTAGTAAAATCTATCTTTCCCCTTGTTTGCATATTTCGGAATCCAGTAATGCCTGGCTAATCACGGCTTTTGGATGACCACCGGTTGTGCTGGAAAACATGTGAGTTCCCTCTCAGTATGCCCGGCATCCGTGTAGTGGTGAGTTGTGGTTTCCATGCTTGAATTACTGTTGTTGCCATATTGTCCATATGACCCTCCTGGATTCAACACCGAGTCCAAGTGTAAGCGAATTAAACCTTCGTGGTAGAAACATCCGTATGTAGTCTGCGTTCAACAATGTTATCACGATGGTGATGACGGTTTCGCTTGTTACAGAAATCACAAAATCTACTTGGAATGTCAGATTACCGTCTTTCAAGGTTGTCTTTTCCTTGGTCCCTGTACTCAGTAGAACCATTGGGGAGGTGAATGGTCGATCATCTGTTAACACTGGTGGCCGTGGTTAGTCAATCTGATTTGGGGTGCCCTAGGTCCCGACCTACCTACATTTAATGACATTGACGATCATGGCTCATTCGTGCGATCACTGGCGCTTCTGTATCCGAAACGGTTCAGTCTGGCTACCCGGAATCCTGTTCTCATAGTGCAGTACACCAAGCAAAGTGCCTGGATGCACCATAACGCCTAATGCATGGCAACATATCATTCCGCTCTCATTTTCTGCACCATGCCATAGGTCCGGAAACCAAGTGGTTTTCTCCGTTTTCCAATGGTACAGTTTGGGGTAAATCCGTCCTATAAGGGTTTTCCCTCTAATTTAGATCCACAGTCTTTCGGCGCAGCCGCTATTTCCTATCGAAATCTGGAGCACTCGAAAATGGTGAGATAGGAAATAGACTACGCTGCGTAATTTGAAGGATGGCGATTTCCGTGTGGTTTCGGCTTTACACTGGCGGACGAGATACGGTCGCGTTATAAAGTTTCGCAACGGAGGCTGATGGGTTGGACACAGGTTTCATTGACCAGCGCATGCGGGGTGTGCTTCCTGCTACCGTTTTTTGAAGTTAATCTCCTGCGCCTAGGTGAGTACAGTTTTTTGATGTGTTGGAGTTACCGTCAGACCAGTACTCGGTGACATGCCTTGTCTGATATTTGTGTTAGGTCTAACGACTGATTCCTCATTCCAGGAGCAATGAGGCACCGGAAGGATGGCTCTCCGTCAGCGACCAAGCGCTCGGCATTTGAAAGCGCAAGGAAAGGTAATTTCGAATTTTCATTTCCACGATGAACAATGGAGTTACCGTCTTACTCTCGACAATGGTGACAAGCAATGTCTGATATTTTTCTCTGCCTAAATGATGTCTCTTTTCTCCAACATAGGTACATTAGGCGAACTCAACGGTGCCTACACGCGCCAACTACTGTGACGTTTGCAGTCAATCAATCGAATTTTATTTTGATTTCATCTGTGGTTACGCGCTGATTGTCCGCTTTCTTCTCGCCGTTCAATAAAGTTGCTATTCGTTCTTGTTTCTCTTTAATTTCTGGGTTTTACGCACACTGGTTAGGTTACGCATAGACCGGATTCAGCGTTTAAAAAGGGGTTCATTCGCTGCATGGAGTTTTGTCGTTTGGTTTGCTTCGATTGCTGGAAGGTCGAAATGTAGTCATGATTAGGCAGCTTTCGGTACGAATCCTACTGCAGGGCGTGCAGTGTTTTTGCATCGAGCGGTTGCACGTTGCATTTTTAGTATATGCGCTCATGCTTACCGCTGGTCTTGAATCCGCCGGCTCATGACGGACTCTCGGTGTGGACTAAACGGTTGAACAGCCCGGCCGAAATGGCTCGGGAGGGTCCGCGCGCGCGGTCGTCACAAAGTTGGTGCACGTCGTGAAATGTATTTCCATTCGGTTCCGGATGTAGAGTCAGTTTCAGGAGCGCTGCGGTTGCCCAGTGGGCAGTGGAAGAAGGGGCTACATGCACAGGACTGCTCGATTTGAGTCGCTTATTTAACAGGAATCTCAGAGCTGCTGGTTCCGTATGCGCTTCCTTCCGTATCATATTCTCGGTTAGCTTCGTGGGAGATTCGCACTGGCGGAAGTTGGTTTTGTACAGCCTCCATAGCAAGGGTATCCCTAGGCCTACAGTATGGATCCTTGGAGAAGATGGGGCGCTTGATTTAGTTTGAGTAATTTCAGTCCGCTCAGGTTTCGTCCGGAAGACTTGAACCGGTCCTGGTATGGTGACCCATTCGTTCTTCGGGCTGCCGTCTTGTTTACAGACTCGTCGCGGTACATCAGATTCTTATAAGTGGGGGTGGGCGGGCAATGGCGCTGCGCGTAGACGACCTTGTCGTGGTGTGAGTATCTAAGGTTGTTTAGCCCACTGGCAAGAAGTTGGGCGTGCGGCATTGTGCCTCTGCCTAACGGCTAGACTGCGCTTGCCGATGTTATTTGTGGTCTTGAGCGCTTATATACAGCTATGCTTTGTGCGACTAAGAACACTAACCTGCCGTATCGACGGTCGCGTGGTACCTCAGGCGGGTTGATTTGCTGCATACAGCAGGGTGCGTAAATGGAAATAGACCACAACTGGCAACTCCGCTGTTTCTCCGTCTTTTCCCAGTTCCAAGACATTCCATAGGGTCTATCCATTGTTGCACACCAACTGGTTTGTCCTGCGCCGACTTAGGAGCCTCAGTCGGCTCGGGAATCACGAACTCAATCCTCGACGCCCCGTCCACCTGGTTACTTTTGATGTTCGCACTGGTGCAAGCGGGACTACATGCCCTTCCACTCAACTCACTTGACATTGATGCTTACCGGGAAGAATTTGGGACCCAAACACACTTGCTGAGCCAACTGGCCCTTTGTTTTCCGCTCGCTTCCGAATGCGTACCTCAGAATCATCTTTGACAGCATGACATGGCGTTCAACGCTGCATCATCATCAAAGAAAGCGACGTCAGTGTTGACGCTGATGCTCCACTGCCGTACAACCATAAGGTTCGTCTAATTATATTTAATGCCCAAGGGTGAAAAGAAGAGTGGTTAAGGGAGGGAACCTAGTGTTCTCTTTCACCACCTGCCAAGTCACGCTCCTTCTACCTCGTAGTTTGCGCCATTCCGAAGGAAGCACGGAGATCGACACTCGTCTCGGAAGACAGTGTTTCGTCATGCGTATTACGGGACCGAGCCATCTTAGTTGGTGGTACTGGTGTTTTCCCCGGTTAAAGTACCTACCGTACACTCAAATACCCATCTAATCACCTCGTTAATAACGCGCTAGTCATCCGAAACCAGCCACGCTTCTGGGGCATCGGTGGTAAAAAACCTGAGCCTCATTATCTGTCCGCAGAGGTCACGTCTAGCACCCACACGACAATACAACCCTTGCTGTAGACTGGTACACACGACCTTTAGGATCTACTGAGATGCCTTCTGGACACCATAGGTGGCGTCAATTAGCAAACGTGATTCGAGCCTTTGAGACTCTTGCGCTAACTTTAACAGATACACTTCCATCAGGGCTAGTACAACTGCCGAGGTACGTAGAGTTTTCCAATCTCCAGTTATTCTCCTTGAATTGTTCGCAGACTGCACGTTCTGAAGGTTCAAGTCGCATGCCAAAAGATGATCTGATGGTGGTCAGAGCTTGTGTTTCGCCTTGGTCTTCAAAGGTGAGGCCATGTCATCTGCCTACTCCAGATCGACAGCTCTCACTAGCGACAATTTGAACACGGGTTTTGAAGACCTGCCAGCATTCACCTCATGTCACCAATGATGTTGAACAAGCATGGAGAGAGTGGACATCCTTGTCGGACACCACTTTATGTATGGAAGCTCTTGGAGAGCTCACCATACAATCTAAACCGCCCAGAAGTGTGCCAATGTACGGATCGGATTACCTTCTGGATATCCTGTTGGGTAACTGTAGTTAATGACACCGACTGATCGACACAGTCGTTCGCACCCTTGATGTCAAGGAGTACCAAGATTGTACATACGGTGTTGCTCTAGCACCTGACGTAGTGTAGGGATGTGGTCAAGGCAGCCTCTACCCAGTCGAAATCTCGCTTGATTCTCACGGGTCAAGGCTTCGCGTGCCGCTGTAAGACGGAGAATCAGTGAAGCCAGAAGCCTTGTCATAAAATGAATCAAACTAACACCTCTGTGGTTACCATATTCACTGTGAGTACCCTTTTTGAAAATGGGCACTACTATCGATTCACTCCAGTTGTCTGGGACTTTCTCCCTTCCTAATAGGCTATACGCAGCGGTTGGGAAGTCCACCACCATCCTTGAAAAGAGCAGAAGGAAGGTCGTCAGGACCAACACAGATGACGCTCGAGTAGAGAAATGCATTCGGACGCTTCTGAGGCTGAAGGCGGCTCCATATTCATGGTTGAAGGCCAGAATTCTGGAGTGGAGGTAGCAGGCGGCCAGCTGAATTGCTGTTCGAAGTGCTGTGCCCAGTGGTCCAAACGTTCTCTTTGCGGTATATCGGGGAGCCATTTCGGTCTCTGATTATTTCTCTGACAAGGGGTTTTCGAGGACCAGTCGAACAAATCAAGTGGAACAGCTTGCGCACGTTTCCACCCTTCTTCGCATCTTCCGTTTCTCCGGCCTTTCGGGTCTATCAAGCCTCTTGGTCTGCACGGATACTCAGACAATCTAAACGCCCAGAAGTGTGCCAATGTACGGATCGGATTACCTTCTGGATATCCTGTTGGGTAACTGTAGTTAATGACACCGACTGGTTGACACAGTCGTTCGCACCCTTGATGTCAAGGAGTACCAAGATTGTACATACGGTGTTGCTCTAGCACCTGACGTAGTGTAGGGATGTGGTCAAGGCAGCCTCTACCCAGTCGAAATCTCGCTTGATTCTCACGGGTCAAGGCTTCGCGTGCCGCTGTAAGACGGAGAATCAGTGAAGCCAGAAGCCTTGTCATAAACTGAATCAAACTAACACCTCTGTGGTTACCATATTCACTGTGAGTACCCTTTTTGAAAATGGGCACTACTATCGATTCACTCCAGTTGTCTGGGACTTTCTCCCTTCCTAATAGGCTATACGCAGCGGTTGGGAAGTCCACCACCATCCTTGAAAAGAGCAGAAGGAAGGTCGTCAGGACCAACACAGATGACGCTCGAGTAGAGAAATGCATTCGGACGCTTCTGAGGCTGAAGGCGGCTCCATATTCATGGTTGAAGGCCAGAATTCTGGAGTGGAGGTAGCAGGCGGCCAGCTGAATTGCTGTTCGAAGTGCTGTGCCCAGTGGTCCAAACGTTCTCTTTGCGGTATATCGGGGAGCCATTTCGGTCTCTGATTATTTCTCTGACAAGGGGTTTTCGAGGACCAGTCGAACAAATCAAGTGGAACAGCTTGCGCACGTTTCCACCCTTCTTCGCATCTTCCGTTTCTCCGGCCTTTCGGGTCTATCAAGCCTCTTGGTCTGCACGGATACTCAGTTCCACCTGGAGTCGGGTGGAGTTGTGATTGCGGCCATCAGGAATCTGTTGCCGGATTCCCAGCAAAGATACGGTTCTATCAGAGATCCAATGTTTGGACAAGGTTAGCTGGGTTGTACCGCAAGCAGAGGTTCCGGCTTTGAGTAGCGCTTTGGATATCTTTTTCCAGTGACCTTTTAAATCCGACATCCTGCAGTCCGGAAGGCGTTCGAGGAGCTGGTTCTGATAGTTTCGTCTGACTTCTGGGTCCACTAGCTCCTGTGTTTCTCGTGTTCAAACCACAACGACCACCCAATCGGGCCTCAGCAGCGCTCAGTCTACCTACCTGGGCGTTCATACCACCAGCAACCACAACGATATTTGGGCTTTTAGCCTTCTGAAGAAGCACGACAATACAACCCTTGCTGTAGACTGGTACACACGACCTTTAGGATCTACTGAGATGCCTTCTGGACACCATAGGTGGCGTCAATTAGCAAACGTGATTCGAGCCTTTGAGACTCTTGCGCTAACTTTAACAGATACACTTCCATCAGGGCTAGTACAACTGCCGAGGTACGTAGAGTTTTCCAATCTCCAGTTATTCTCCTTGAATTGTTCGCAGACTGCACGTTCTGAAGGTTCAAGTCGCATGCCAAAAGATGATCTGATGGTGGTCAGAGCTTGTGTTTCGCCTTGGTCTTCAAAGGTGAGGGCCATGTCATCTGCCTACTCCAGATCGACAGCTCTCACTAGCGACAATTTGAACACGGGTTTTGAAGACCTGCCAGCATTCACCTCATGTCACCAATGATGTTGAACAAGCATGGAGAGAGTGGACATCCTTGTCGGACACCACTTTATGTATGGAAGCTCTTGGAGAGCTCACCATACAATCTAAACCGCCCAGAAGTGTGCCAATGTACGGATCGGATTACCTTCTGGATATCCTGTTGGGTAACTGTAGTTAATGACACCGACTGATCGACACAGTCGTTCGCACCCTTGATGTCAAGGAGTACCAAGATTGTACATACGGTGTTGCTCTAGCACCTGACGTAGTGTAGGGATGTGGTCAAGGCAGCCTCTACCCAGTCGAAATCTCGCTTGATTCTCACGGGTCAAGGCTTCGCGTGCCGCTGTAAGACGGAGAATCAGTGAAGCCAGAAGCCTTGTCATAAAATGAATCAAACTAACACCTCTGTGGTTACCATATTCACTGTGAGTACCCTTTTTGAAAATGGGCACTACTATCGATTCACTCCAGTTGTCTGGGACTTTCTCCCTTCCTAATAGGCTATACGCAGCGGTTGGGAAGTCCACCACCATCCTTGAAAAGAGCAGAAGGAAGGTCGTCAGGACCAACACAGATGACGCTCGAGTAGAGAAATGCATTCGGACGCTTCTGAGGCTGAAGGCGGCTCCATATTCATGGTTGAAGGCCAGAATTCTGGAGTGGAGGTAGCAGGCGGCCAGCTGAATTGCTGTTCGAAGTGCTGTGCCCAGTGGTCCAAACGTTCTCTTTGCGGTATATCGGGGAGCCATTTCGGTCTCTGATTATTTCTCTGACAAGGGGTTTTCGAGGACCAGTCGAACAAATCAAGTGGAACAGCTTGCGCACGTTTCCACCCTTCTTCGCATCTTCCGTTTCTCCGGCCTTTCGGGTCTATCAAGCCTCTTGGTCTGCACGGATACTCAGTTCCACCTGGAGTCGGGTGGAGTTGTGATTGCGGCCATCAGGAATCTGTTGCCGGATTCCCAGCAAAGATACGGTTCTATCAGAGATCCAATGTTTGGACAAGGTTAGCTGGGTTGTACCGCAAGCAGAGGTTCCGGCTTTGAGTAGCGCTTTGGATATCTTTTTCCAGTGACCTTTTAAATCCGACATCCTGCAGTCCGGAAGGCGTTCGAGGAGCTGGTTCTGATAGTTTCGTCTGACTTCTGGGTCCACTAGCTCCTGTGTTTCTCGTGTTCAAACCACAACGACCACCCAATCGGGCCTCAGCAGCGCTCAGTCTACCTACCTGGGCGTTCATACCACCAGCAACCACAACGATATTTGGGCTTTTAGCCTTCTGAAGAAGGGCACCTAGAGCGTCATAGAAATTACTTGGCAGATTCACAGCTACAGTCAGTTGGGACGTAAGCGGACACAAGCTGCGATTAACCTCACTTCCTCTATATTCTCTCACAGATGTTGCCAAACGAACCGTACGGAGGCGATTATCAACGGGTATCCAATCAAGCATAGACACTTCCGCTTGTACACTCAATACAATACATAACCCAGTATACGCAGCTGCAGCGGCCTCTGCATCACCAGAGGTGCGCAGCCGGAACCTATAGGTGGAATCTAGCATACGAGCAAGAGCCACCTGCTGATCTGTTTGTTTCAGTGTGCGAGCATTGAAGGTGGCTAAGTTCACAGGTTTTCGGGGTTTGAAAACGGACTTCGAAGTGTTTAGGGTTGTGACTGAACTAGGACGTACAGATGCTGCAGCTGAATGTGAGGCAGGGCAAGCAGAACGCCCAGTCCTAGAGCTGAGACCTGCGGAGAATGTATTCAAATTTGGGCGGGGGGAGGGGGAGGTGGAAGAGGGGAAACGTGAAAGTGTAAGATGGGAGGCGTCAGCAGTAGCGTGTTTTCGCCTATCCGCCCTGCTGTATAGAGCAAGTAAGGCGACCCGGCTGATGACATCACACAATGGCCGATTTGGCACAACAGGTTTGACAGCTCTAAAGTGCTGTTGGGCTGGAAATGCAAATACATTATTTTTACTTCGCCATATATGTTCAACCCTTAACATGGTGGACCAGGGGACTGTGTTCGTCAGACTTATACCAGTTGACCAACCTGGTGTGGGCGACTGTGCCGCGCGGACACCCCCCAGTATGGCTCACTCAGTCGCCGAGGTACACAAACCGCCACACCAGGGTAAGGTCCAGTCTCTTCGTGATGACAGTGATGCTCCGCTGCCGTACACCCATGGTTTACTCAAAAGCCTTATCGTGAAGAAAAGAATAAGAGTGAACAGATAATGGACTTATTGCTAACTTACTAAAATCATCCCGAGATGCCTACTCCTGTAGGAACTTTCCGTCTCTGTTGCGTCAATACAATATGTTGTGATACTGGCATATCGTACCAACTGAAATGTAAGGCGGCCTTGTACAGTTGGTTGTACAGTTGAGTCTTACATGAAAACGGAATTGGCGTGTAAATAACTGGTGAGAATTAGAGAAACTCGGTATTATAACTAGTTTTTAGTGATGGGGTTCCATGCATATTTGGCAATCTTGGTAGACTCTAATCCTATGTCTGGTATTGCTTTCGAACGAAATGTTTCGTTTTCCCTAGTGCAGTCCCAATTTGGAACTCCGTACTTGCTTGAACAGCAGTGCAGTCGAAACGGTCGATGTCGATTGAATTTCCCATTGATACCATGCAACAGAAATGTTTTTATTCAACCTCAATGATTAAGTAAATTGGGAGTTCGCCACAGGGTCCGCGGTGGTGATACTTTGTAATCGGCGAGCAATGTACCAAGTTCAACGCACTAACATCTGCCTAACCGATGCCTTGATGGCTCGCTAACTAATCACCCCCTCCCAAAAAAGTGAAACGATTGCGTTGCGCACGGTGGCGTAGAATGAACTTCCCATCAGGCGAAACAAAGTTAAAGGGTCTAAGTGAGTTCACACCTTCAATCGACAGGTGATCTAGGGGTTTAATAAACCCGTTGCTTTGCAGACATCAGCTGGAGGGTTCACTACTCGTCATCTGCAGAAAATTTAACCTCCCACCAAGCATCTGAGATGCCCCTGAATGTAAGTTCCTGGGGCCGATTATCCCTATCACATGGAGGCTCATGCTCAGCACGCGCATTCAGTTGACCACCAAATTGATATCTGCTGTTTTTACTTGTCAACGTGGAGAGCATATGTTGTCCATGCGGTAGTGAAGTAATCAATTCTTGGTAGCAAAACAGCTGCAATGGACTTGTGAAGTTGTTTTCTGAGGCGTGTTTGCTTGAAGAATAAAAGCTGGAAGCATACCAGTTGATTTCTCCCCCTTTTCACAAGTTTCATGCCTGAACTCCCCGTACCAACCCGTAACCCAACTTCATAATTCTCATTAAATTGAATGAATTCTGTTCTCTTGCCCTTCGCCCAGGTCAGCACATTTTTGTTCTGTTGTGCCCCGTAACGATTTCTTCAAACGTGGAAGAAGAAGTCTTTAATCTAGTAGAGTGTAAGTAATCCATCAGTGAAGCAAACAGATAAAACGTGCTGTGTAACCTCACTTTCACTCTTTACAACCAACTCCCGTCTCACCGTGCATGCTTCCTGCAACGAAATTTGGTTTAGTACCTAATGAAACATAGCTTACCTGTTTGCGGATTTGGTGTACCTTGATCCACCGGAATCTCCCCTGAATTTTGTCGCACTTTGCGGCTTGTGTTTCAACTGTTTCATCCGAACTGGCAGCTTCTCCTCGCTTCCTCGGTAACTCAAGTATATGTTTGACAAGTCCACCGGCTGCGTTGCAAAATATAGGAGAGAATAAGTTCATCCTAATTGCCGTTGCTTGCGTATTTGGAGCCCTAAAGAATCTACAACAAAGGCTTTACTGCTCTCTGCAATGAGTATAGAACAGAAGTAGGGTACTCTGATCTCTTCTCAAGGTCACAACACCCCTGATACGCTGTTGTTTCGAGAAATTGGAAGCCTGGGACATAGGTTTCATGGCATAGATAAATTACGGTAATAGAAAATAATGATCGTTAAGCTGGAGCACCGTTTCGGTGCTCCAGATGTCATGCCACCCGAAGGAAGTAGGAGGGCTTAGATACTGTCTGGTTGCCCAAGCATATACAGGAGCAGTCGAGATGCTGTGGTTATGTTCGAACAACTGACCTGGTTGTTAGCGGTCGTTAAGCAATTTCATCGTTTTTACCCTATTGTTTGCACATTGATGGACAACCGCAGTTAGTTTGAAAGTCCAAATGCCTAACCTTGATCCATCCATTAAGATATCAGACATCAATATAACAATTGCTCTTCACCACTTATTTACATGGCTGGAAATGTACGGAGATTTTTTTATCAATCCCAAATTCGGTACACAAAACCTTCACGTGGGAGCCTCTGTCAAATATACATCACCGACTTTCATATGGCTGTTTCTGCGTGAGTTTCGAAGAGGTGAAATCGAGCTGAAAATCTGACAAATACTGGATAGCTGGCTCATCCGCTTTGGAGATCATCGATATTACGCACCACGTTAACCTTTTGCGGGATTCGAACCCGCGACATTCCGATTAACAACCTAGCTTGATATCTTAGCGTCACAAGTGGCTGTTTAGCAGGATATCTTGATTCCCATTTCTTAACCACGCATTTCACGTTCAGCTGGCACTTCAAATTGTTCGCCCTTGTTACTCGTAGGGTTTTCCCCTCTGAGCAAATTTTCTAGGTTCTACGATGGTGAGCTGAGAGCAGACACAGCCATAGAGGTGGGCTCGAGACCACGACTGATGAATTGTTCAATATGCACTCTGTCTGGTTGAATTCTAGGGACGCCGCTCCACTACACGCAGTACGATTACCACTCATATTTTTAATTAGCGTATTCGCTTTTAATAGTCAGTACCGATTTGGACGGGCACAACTAATTATAAAGAGATACTATCAACTGGGTCAGCCAGATTATTCAGTCTCAAAGACAGTCCTGCTTTGGTGAAGCACATGAGAAGATTAGCTAACTCACCGATGGTGGGTGTTCTTTCTCGGGTTTCCGCATATTGTTCCCAGTGTAGGCGACACACCTCAGTTGCCACTCTCCAATATCTTCATTCCAGTGAACATTTTGTTCTATGAGTTCCTGAAAACAAGCAAGCAACTTCTATTATCGCAACGCATTTTTCTGCTAGAACTCATGAACCATCCTCATAATTTTTTTCTATATTTTCAAAGACATAACCGATGTTCTGACCACTGTGGACTAATTGAAGTGCTGAATTTGCATCACCAGTAGTCAAGATTGGCTTCAGCTGCTAGTCGATGTCGGTAGCATCCTGATAGTCTGTTTTGTAACCAGATTATCTGAATGAGTGTCTGAAGTTGTAGATTCTAGTAGTCTCATACTGTCCATCCAACCACTCTTATCTTTTGCTTCCCAACTTCCAATTTGATTGTGATTGTACGGTTAGGAGACATCGGTGTTGAATGCTGATGTTGGGCTATCGATCGTGATAATAACGGTCAAAGAAACGCAAACCAGAATCTACTTGGCACTCACTTGATATGGCTTTGGGATAAAATGGTCGATGAGCATAGTGTGCAGGGCCAATTCTCGTCCAAGTTGGCGAATGTTGTCCAACAGTCCCTCCATTTCGCGTACGTGTTCACAGCGCACGTCGTCCAGTTCGGCCCTGGCTTGCAGATACATTGTACTAAGTTTGCGTAACTTTCGCCGCTTTCCTGCAGCTTCTTCCTGAGTTGGGGGCGACAAGAAAATCTCACACTCTGTTTTCCAAAATCCGGACAAACATATCGGTAAACATTAATGTTGCTTTTTTAACAAACTTTTCACAAGGTTGCTGCTCACGACTGAAATATCATACAGGAGAGATCCGGTTGATTCTTTTGTGAAAATCAAATTAATATGTAAATTGATACTGCTTGTAATAAATGAGGTTGAAGGGCATTATCTGCTATGGAATATGGAATAAAAAAAGACGTAGGTTCCCCACGGATGCAATGTGTAAGTGAAACGAATTGAACTATCGATTCACCAGGTTCAAATGGGCATAAACTACCAAGCTAACGCCGTTTTGGGTTGTTCCAGCGACCCAGTTAACAGCGAATTTCACTAATTAGTCGAATTTACCTGGAGTGAGTTGTATTTCTCCTCAATGTTGATGCGTTCTTCTTCCTTTTCCTTCAGTTTCTGATGCAGCTGTTCGGCTCGCCTCTGTTGTCGCTCCAATTCGACCGCGGACTGCTCGAGCAGTTTCTCCTGAGCTTCTGCTTTCTCCAGCAAATTCTCACCGCCTACAATGATTCGACTTTGCAACGCTTCCATGCGACGCATGAGGTTTGATTGGACCTCTCTGGCTTTGCGCAGCTCTGCTTCTTTGTGTTCCAGATGGGCCTGTAGAAACAAGTAGGGAAACTTATCATAACATCCGGTGGTGAGAAAATCGGGATTTTTGGATATCTATACTCGTGTTCTATTCCAGAGGCCACTCACAAGACAAAATGCTTTTCAGAATTGACTGTCCTTTTTTTCAGTGACAGAAGGGATCACCATCCTTTTGGATGGTGCATACAGAGGCGGGCAACTGTAGCCTGCGATCGCTTTCTCACCGGGCCTGAGTTATTTTGTGCAAAGAATGATACGGCAGTCAGGTTGTAAACCTGGGATAATGGTGTGGCCCCGCTCAAACAGTTCTGACTCAGCCCGGTTGATGCTATTAACTAGAAAGGTATTCAAGCGCCATCCGCGACAGTGCTGATGCCGAATGTTGGCACTTCTCTACCAACAAAACTAAAAGGAAAACAAGAGTAGATGGATCTGGATAGAACCAAAAAATACCGTTGAAATTGGCTCCATTTCAAGGTACACCAACTGGGCACATCCTGAATGACAGAGGGAACCGGCAACAGACACAACAGAATTGATCATTTAGAAAGAAAAACGTGCCTAACGTTTTAAACAGCTACTATTGACCAGATCACGCAAGCTAGAATGGTTTTTACGTCTTGATGTGGTTTATCCACGCGTCTGGACAAAGCGGTTGGTACGTGACCTGAGTTTTACTTGCCTTGGTGACGGCAGCTCTCTGACGTGGGGTAATGGAGTTGACCGTTATTTCAAGACACATGCGAGCAAACTCCAAAGTTTTGCACAATAATATATGCAATAACTTTCAAACGGGTGATGTGCAAACTGGAACCACAATGTAAGATGGTTTTCAAGTGCACAACTGTTGTGCAGCTGTGAGACTTAGCCATTTCGGGCGGAGGGTCTGAGACATCTTCAGGTTTTTGACCACCGATATCTCAGAACTATAGCTGGAACCGTTTGGAACAGCGAATGTAGAACGAAGTGATCAGAAAACGGGTCTTTGGCGAAGCAAAAGCGATTCATTCGAAGGATGCATCAAACACTACAAGCTAAAATGGCCGGGCCGTGCGTCAAGTGTGTTCAGTTACCGCCTGCCAAAAGCGGTGTTGTTTTTCGGTGCATGATTCGGAGTGGCGGAAAAATTGGGTTGAACAAAATTTGACATGGTAGTAGGGAACGAAGGATGTTACGAAAGGTTTGGGTGCTGTTGACGCTCTTTACCTTCCTGTCTGACGTCAACATGGCCTTCCTTGTGTTCGACTGGAGACCCTGAATGATAGGGCGGCCATCCGATGCCAACGACGGTCATACTGTCAGTTTCCATCTAGATTGCTTTCCTAAGTGTTACAGGTCTAGGCACTTCGGGTGTTTGTGATGGGCCACTTCTACGTCCTCATCCCTGTCCCATTTTTCTTCTTGACATGGTAAGTCTTTATTCAAACATATTGACATGGCTGTGTGACCGTGCTGATGTCGCTGATAATGATGAGGAGAATGAGTTAAACCCATAATAACCATGCATAGAAAACCTTGGTCCACTGACTAAACCTCGATTTTATGCTAATCACTGGAACAGTTGCGCATGACCACACCCACAGTTTTGTTGAATTCGCAGTCACCGTCGTGTACTAGCTCGATAATAATTTACGTGGTGCTTGCTGGTCTAACCTCGTTGACTGACACCGTGAGTACTTTTGGGTACTATGAGGTCCAGAACACGTACCAGCTTGAACGTTTTTACGTTTCCCTGTTCGACTGAGAACAGTGAACAATGTTTAAATGAAACTTCTCTGTTTCTCTTGCCCAGTATACTTATTTTCAACCGCCTACGGCTCATGTGTAGTATCCAGTCGAGTTGAATTGGCAGCATGTTCTGCTAACCTCATTTTATCTCAGAGTGCAGTGTTCAAATTTGGCCAACACAGTACAATAACCTGCCTTGGGATTTTCAGAGGATTTTTCTGGGTTGGATTCTCGCTCCAGTCTACTGCTTTGAACATCGAATACTCTGCTTATCATGGTGACTCTACGTAATGTTTGTCACTCCCCATCATCCTGTTCATTAGAATTTGGTTTTTCAGTCCGGCTGAACCTCACTGGGAATTACTTGAGACTGTTTTCCACGAAGACGTTCTTCTTTTTAGTTTTCTATTCTTCTGCGTTATATATCATGCGCTGTTTCATTCTATCCTTCACACTTCAGCTGGAACCTGTTCCAACCAATAGTGCTGTGTGCTTATCTAATGCTAACCTGTAGACTGTCGCATCAACTTGAGTCAAAAGGAGTTGTGAAATGTGATGGGTTAGCAAATCAGTTGTGATCATAACGTAAACATTTTGGTGTTAACCAACTAATAATAAGGTGTCAATCCACGACTGTTCTTTAGCTATCTAAAGTTCCGTTTTTGAACCTGGCAAACTATATGGGTCGTTCTGATTGGCACCCCAGTTTACGAGCGCTTGTCACGGTGTAGTGGATCTCACAAAATCAAGCACATGACAAGCACAAACACACCTCACTTAGTCTGTAAGGATCACTGTATCAACTTTGTCAAATTTTCCAAAAGTATTCAACGGGTAGCTGCTAGATCATCCCTCCGGAAGCACTCGGAACGACCAAAGCGATCTTTATAGAGTGACCTCAGCCACCTTGTGTCATCAGCAACATCACTTGAAATCAGTGGTGCCGCATTGGCCAACCGACCAATCCTCTCCAACCAATTCGAACTAACCGATGTAACTACTCACCACCTTTAGACTGCATTTCTAAACACCTTTATCATTCTATTTATAACAGTGTCCACCAGTTGAGATTTTACCAAAAAATTGCCCTCAAAACATGCTTTAAAAAACCCAGGCGTATGATATAGAAAAGTTACTCGAAGTGTTGTTGGATAATAAATCTATCTAATGTGGAATCTGTTCCGATGAGTTTGGCTCCCCGGGGGAATGAGGAGGAATGATATTTTTCCCATGCATTGGTTTCACACTTGACTTTCAGACGAATATCATGAAATTGAAAATTTCGTCACAAGAAGGCAGCATTTTTCTGGACATTATCTTTTTCCTCTTAACGACCGTATTTATCGCCTGTTTCCTCCTGAGTTCAAAGTAAAAATGTGAATAAAATATTTCTAACGCAATAATGGTTTAGGTTTTAAATTAAAGTTGCACAAATTCCATTTTAGTAGCTGGCATACTGTTGCTCGTATTCTTACCTGTATTTTATTTCGCTCTTCAACAGCTAGGTCCTTTTGTTCCTCCAGTCGCCGTTTGTCGGCTTCAATCATGCGTTGAATTTCAGCCATCTTCTGTTTGCTAATTTTCGGACGTTCCTTTTTGTTTCCTCGTAGTGCCGTTCTCTGAGGATCATCAACATCGCCGCCCGAATCGCCTCCACTGTCCACACCCGCCGATGCTCCCATGCCTATTACAAATAGTAAAATCAAGACCAAAGCGAAAATCATTGCGTCTGGGAAATGACGAATTTGGTAACATGTCCAAAGGCTGCACCGAAAATCAACATGTACCAACTACTGTTCGGCAGAGACGGGACCAATCAGTAGCCCATAAGAATAGTGTGTGCCTTCACCGTATAGCAGATAGTTCCCCTCTGTATGATCCATCTCCCCCAGATTATGATGAAACACTGTCATATTTTTCGTGTGTTTTCGTTCTGGTAGCAAAACCACTTAAGGTAGACTGAATCCATCCACTATCCGACGCTGGAGAGACTCGTATCACGTTTTCGTCTGAGGATACCCTACACCGCGTTTTGACGGAAGATGATTACCTTTCTGAACAACCATTGAGATTTTTCAAAAACGAAGGCAAAAGGTGTGAACTTGCGCATCTAATTGAACATGTATGCACGAAAAACAGCCACGTCCTTTGAACGCGGCTTCTGTTCGATGCATACCTGCTCTGCAATCCGAACGTCGAGCGGATTACATCACCCATATGAGACTGTTATCGATTGACTCGTTAAACGGGTACGTTCACTCCCACACACGGCTTGAAGATCCACCCAAGTGACACCTAGTTGATTGGTTGCTGTTTCTACCAAGGCACACTGGCTATTGTTTACTATCCCTCGAGACTGCTGATTGTGTCCGCACTCACCTCACTTTAACTGAAAGCGTAAGCTACTGACAAAAGATCCACGATCCGTAACCTGAGCCTGGTGCTCTTACTGCACATGTCTAGACGTTGGCAACCTAGCACTGCCTTAGCTCTCTCACTTCTCTCTAGTTATTCGTCAACTATGCACCGAAAGGATATCGATGCTGGTTGGTTTTTACATGTAGTTATCCACGCTCACTGTCATTCCGGAAAATACTCAAGTGTTAAAGTCTGTAGCAAAAACAGTCAGATTAAGACTATTCTATCACCCGACAATTTTGAATCAAGCAACAACGGTTGCGATAAAAAGCAGGCATCTGAATTTTGGGCATGTCTGCGCTGTGTGGCCAGGAAACAGATTAAATCGGTCAGCGATATTCCTGATGAAGCACTACCAAAGTGCTTGTTATAACTTGTTTGTTTGTCGGAACTGAAGGTGAAGTGGCGCTCCTTGAGCTCTAGAAAGCTTAGTGCTTAAGGTGCGGACTTATCAACCGTAAGGTCCGTGTTTCGAATCCGACCTTAGCATACAGATTTGGGCAACTGATAGTATATCAGCCTTCGTTCTTCCTTCGGGTGGCATAGAAGCTAGGTACCGATGGGGTGTTATAGCTGAAAGAATGATTGGTTGATTGATTGATTGATTGATTGATTGATTGATTGATTGATTGATTGATTGATTGATTGATTGATTGATTGATTGATTGATTGATTGATTGATTGATTGATTGATTGATTGATTGATTGATTGATTGATTGATTGATTGATTGATTGATTGATTGATTGATTGATTGATTGATTGATTGATTGATTGATTGATTGATTGATTGATTGATTGATTGATTGATTGATTGATTGATTGATTGATTGATTGATTGATTGATTGATTGATTGATTGATTGATTGATTGATTGATTGATTGATTGATTGATTGATTGATTGATTGATTGATTGATTGATTGATTGATTGATTGATTGATTGATTGATTGATTGATTGATTGATTGATTGATTGATTGATTGATTGATTGATTGATTGATTGATTGATTGATTGATTGATTGATTGATTGATTGATTGATTGATTGATTGATTGATTGATTGATTGATTGATTGATTGATTGATTGATTGATTGATTGATTGATTGATTGATTGATTGATTGATTGATTGATTGATTGATTGATTGATTGATTGATTGATTGATTGATTGATTGATTGATTGATTGATTGATTGATTGGAGCTCCTTATATTATTTAGGAGGATGTGGGGTAAACGGATAGCCTGAGGATCGCGGTATGAACATGGTCAATAAGTTGTCCTAGAGCTTGGGCACAAATAGAAGGACACCATCCGCAGATAGCTTTCCATCATTTTACTCATTCGTGGTGCAAGTCAGGTAGTTCCCAGTATGTGACATCTTACAACCCTGCCAGGCAACTGAGCCACCGTTGAAACCCGGACCGCGCGGTTTAAAAACACGGAAAACGGACGAATTTTGGGTCTGGCCACCGTGTACCCGAGAATTTAACAGTGGACCTGCAGACGTAGGACGCACTACTCGTCTGGGTTGTCTGGCTCTTATTCCCGCTACGTGTATCGATGGCGTAACACTTAAATGACTGGAAGAGTTCAGGCTTCCATACAAGGGTCAAGATTACGTTTTTTTTGGGTTTCGGTATCGGTATTTAGCGTGCTAACGCTTAATGTCACTCGTGGTTATGGAAATGCTGAACGTGAATAATTAGTACTTCCCATATAGTTCGCCATTTGTACACAGCAAACGGGACGGCATCTTGCATTGCAGTGAAGACCCAGTGTTCTTATCTGGTGTTGCTGTCAACGATGATGATGACATGGTTTATGGTGACTGATACATCACGCAAGAATAGATTGACTATACAGCTACACGCCGTTGGAGCCAACAGTGCTGAATGTTTGTCCCAAAAAGGCTAAGGGTAAGTGAAATCTCGGCTCAATGTTGGAAAGGTCTTGGCTCAGTAGATCTGAACCCTCTATTATTGATCGCATATCTACTGTGTCGTGGCGGACACTAGACACCGGTAATCTCACCTTCCTCCAGTTGCTTGCGCAACATTTCAATCTCCTTTTGAAACTGTCGCAACATTGCATCTTTCGGATCCTCGTTGATTTTGGCCTTGTTCCGTATATTCTTCGCCCGATTGGCATAACGAAGAGTGCTCAGTGATTCTTCGTAGTTGTAGTCTGAAGGGGCTATGTTGGCAATCTGTAAGAGGGTGAAAGATAGTCATGCAGTTGAAGGGATATCTGTCACAGATGAAACGGATTTATGCATTCGAAAGTCATCTTAGCTTAAACAACAGCTGATTTGTCCGAAGTTCTGTCAACCGACAAGCTCGTATCGGGTGGAACGATGGAAGGCAAAAACTAGAAGAGGGGTAGAAGGCAAGATAATGTACTTGATACATCGATATGGAATTGTGGGGATGTATGCCTTAGTTCGGTTAGGCGACGAAAGCTTTGGTTGTTGGAGCTGAAACGACGGTGTAGTGAGAATTCGTTGCCGGATATGTTTGTCAAGGTCCCGTCGACTGGCATGAAGTACATGATTAAGGGATGAGAGGTGAAAGATCCTGTTTGGAAGTAAGCTATTCACTATGAATGATAGTATTTTAACAATTACATGAAATTGCACTGATATACCCTTGTAGATAATCCCGAATTGATGTTATCGGTTTCCAACAAAGATGTACCATGTCTTACAAGAATAAATAAGTGTTTGGTTAGGGAGTGTGGAAAGAATGTTTGAATTTTCTTCGTACTACTGGACGTTTGTTGAGTAGTTTACGAAGCCAGACAATACTTTCCAGTCCCTTTGTTTTTTGTCTCATCACACCAATAAAGGACCGATGGGTTCAAGGTCCACTATCCAGATCCGTGATGATGTGACGATATAGAACAAGGCTTGATGATGCAGTCCATCCATATCACACACTGGATCCGGAAAGTGTCCAGACGCTAGATACCTTTGCCCGAACAAATCATCATCATAGAAATAAATCAGTAGCGGAATTTGAAGCCTAACTGCCATACAACGATGGAGGAAGAATGCCACAGCAAAAGGATGGGAAGAACGGGAAAGGGGTGTGACAAAAATCCTAGGAGAAGCACCCAAGGTCCAGACCAAATCATTCAGGCAAACACATCCGTGTCACATGTTGGATTGAGACGTCATCAATGCATCGACCGAACATCCAAGCAAACAAATTTCACCCGAGGAATAGTTGCGGCGTCACAATTGGTAAAGTTGTCGTCCCGTGTAACTTACTGTAATGCGATTCGGGCTGACATTGCAAAATATTGCAAAATCACCCCGTAACCAACTGTAACAAAGAAGCGTTTCAGTAATCAGTTGAAAGGGTAGAACAATGGAGAGCACAGCCTACACGGTCCTGCGTTTTTCGTCATAAAGTAGGTTAATTCTGAAGCGCTACACATCTCGATCTGCCTTGGTTTTGGCAGCGGAATGATGGCTACCGAAAGAGTAGCGATTCAATTCAAGACACATGAAACTGGGTCAGCCCACAGGTAGTGGTCACCTTGGAAGTGTATTCCGTTTAGCTATAAACTGTTCAGCGTGATTCTTCAAGGAAGACTACGAACGAAAAAGTGAGTGCTCAGCTTCACCTTGGGGTGTCCTTTCTCCAAGGACATTAGGAGGTAGAATCAAACAAATGGTTCTAAATGGTTTATGTAGCTACTGTGAAGTTTGGCATCGTAGGAATCTGAATAGACAGGAATATGAAGAAGTAGAGTCCTGAAAGACATGTAAGCACCACAAGGGAATACAGGAAACTACTTCAAGAAGATGGCTGCACATTATATATATATGTGTATATATACAGGCAAAAGTGACCACACTCTTAGTACTTGAGCAGTTAATTTCGTGTGACTATTGTGAGGTCTTTGTGTTGAGCCACGTCGATCCTATGTCGTATAAATTGTATGCGATGATCACAAAAGGCTCCGAAAAGAGCAGAGTCATGTGGACGAAAAGATACACTACTGTTGCGTTCAGATAACCAGAGAGGACACTTGTTCTTCCTGATGTTTAGAAAGCTAAGTTAACCTTTGTACGAATCCCAGTCTGATAACTTGTATACCACTGAGATAAAATCGATGGTATTCCAAGTCGCTTGATAGAATTTCCGGCTATAAGAAGAATCCCACCATCTGACCTTTCGCATGTGTTCTTCGTTGATTGGTTATGGTAAACTGTTTGCTAATTTTTTGTGGAGATTTTGTTCTGTCAGTGAGGCCAATCTATGCTGAAAGGCCGAGAAGCACTGCACAGCTGTTTCATCCTTACTGGGAATCATCAGCAGTGCGCATCTCACGAAACTCCGGAGAGTCTCGAACCCACGACCTCCTGGCTAGTAGTTTGAACATTTGACCGTTCGGCCACGGGCAGCTGATCAACAGTGTGATTAACTCGTACTTAGGCAGGATGTAGCACTGCTTATCCTTCAATCACGGGATCCACATCACGCGGTCACACGCGTTGACTGGCTCCTCGAGCAACGACTTCTCAGATGGAAGTTTCACTCATTGGGGTGAAGTTTATTCTTCCACTGAGCTACTTATGGATTGTTGGTAGTGTGAGGAGATTTGAGATTTCTGTGGAGATTTCGCCCTGTAAGTGAAGCCGATCTATGCTGAAAAGCCGAGAAGCACCGTACAGCTGTTTCATCCTTATTGGGAATCATCGTGAGATGCGCACTGCTGATGATTCCCAATAAGGATGAAACAGCTAGCTGCATAGCGTTTCATGACTTTTCAGCATAGATTAGCTTCACTGGCAGGATGAAATCTCCACAAAAATCCCAAATCTCCTCACGCTACCAACAGTGTTCATTAAGTTTATGTATAGCCACTCGAATATCTCAAGTATTATTTTTTCATAGGTACGTTTGAGTGCCAGATCAATGTTGTGTTACCATAAGTGTCCAGATGGATAAATTTTATGTGAGAGTAGTGTACAAGTCTTCAACCTTTGTTACGCGCAGTTTATTAGTGGATGCTTGTGAAAATCTCTATTTCCGAGCTCACTTGACAAAATAACATTTCGTTAGATAACGGATTTCGAGGAAATGAATTTTCGCAGGCGACCTGGGTGTCAGTAGACTGGAGAGTTTTTGTCTACATGTTTACTTACGCTCTTCAAAATAAGGAAATGGGATGTGGTTCACTAAGGAAACAAGCTGTCATCCAGTCTGTCCTGTTTTGGATGGATTTAGATGATTAGGGCTTAGCATTAATTCGTAATACGGAAGGGCCACTGCCCACAAATGTGAATACAGTCTAGATGAAATCAACTGAATGTCCAAGCATCGTCAGGTTTCAGGAAGCGTTTGCAACGCATCTTGGAGCCAACTCAGCCATAACACAGCCTGTCATTTATTCGTAGAATGAGGACGGAGAAACAGCATCAAGTTAAGGACATAAGTGATTGTGGCGGAATATTGGTAGCTCAGCTGGATTTATAATTTGTTCGCTTGTTTGCCGGACTTAGCGCTTGACTTGCAGACTCTTCGTCAAGGAGACGTCATCAGTGTGCTTTTGTTTGCCTCCTACCTCCTCTGTTGCTTGGTTTTATATAATTAAGCTGGAAGAATAACATACCTCTGACGTGATTGGCCAACAGTGACTCAGATTTTCTGGTTGCTAATTGGTGTATTTTATACCTCATTGCGTTGTGGTCTAATTTCCTCCTGGCTGACCAATTTCTCGGACACGTCCGTTTTCAATAGTTTTCACTCTTTCTTCTGACAGCCTCTGCGACTTTTTTGGTGCACTTTGATTGAGAATACCTTAAATTGATTGGCCTAGGTCCAGGGGGAAGAATCAAGAATCATCAGCATGCAAGAATCATCAGCAATCCCACCAAACATGTGCAATTTGATTAATGTACGAGAGACAATAATGCACTTACCATTGCTGTTTTCGAGTTCCCACCCAAAGAGTCCTGAAGCAGTCGGGTGAGCTTGGAATTCCTATATGGTATGTGGGTGGATTTTCCATCGACCAGGGCGGAGATCACGTTCCCAAGTGTGGTCAATGAAAGGTTGATTTTATTGGCTTCTTGGAGACGTTTTCCTGTTGCACCTGTTTTGGACTGCCGCTCAGAGCCCTGTTTGAAGGTTTCAAGCGGTGAATAAGAAAGATTTAGATAACGGGTATAGTACAATATGGTATAGTATCCTGGAATATTAGCGAAATACACTCATTTTCAAGCCTATTTGGTTTTGTGGGGGACTCACCTGGAACCCAGTTAAATCTCTCGTTAAAGACATTTGAAGCTTAAAAATGAGTGCATTTTGTTAATTTTGTGCAATTTGTGTTCAGGTAGAAAACTCGGAGACTGTGCCTACCTGATGCGCCCCAAGAAGTGAGAAATTGGTTGTGGGCTGTCAAAGAATTTTCAATAGCCATATGATAATTGTATTACTTCCATCATGGGGTATTTTTTCGTATGGTATGCTGCAGTATAGTATAGTCGGTCGCAGGATTTTCAGTTGAATGTCTCCCTTAAGGTTACAGCGAACTACACCAATGACTCTAAGGTCTGCTCCCCTTAGGCTCCTATACATTCACAGGCAACTCTACCAGAGTATAGACAGCTGCTTCACCTCTATACTGATTTGTTTCTTCCAAGCTTCCCGAAAAAAAAAAACGATATCAATGCTTATGCAGTAGCCGATCTTGGCTACTTAATGTCTTTATCAGCTGTGCAATTTCGAAGTTTTACGAGGAATCTGTCATGGGGTGCCACTTACGTTGATCGCGTAGTTGCTAGTACACCCACAGATGAAACCGCAGCAAACTGTTCAATCAATAAAGATAGATGACCCATAAACTTTAAATTTTAAACGGTCGTAAAACAGATTATCATGTCGCGTACAGATGAACTTACAGCCAGGTCAACTAAATGCAGTTTGCCTTGCCGCAACAGCGTTTTGCCCCCCTGTACAAGTTGGCTGCATTCCAATGTGACAGTGTAAATCGCATGCGAACGGGAACTGTGCTCATTCATGTTGGTTGCTGCCGTGACACCTAGCAGAAGAAAAAAAGGGGCACATTGGGTAGGAAACAAACTTAGTTAAAGCCCTATCACCCAAATAATGGTATGCACGAGTACTGAGAGGACCACGCTGCAGTACAGGCATAGATCCACTGCACCCCCGATAAAGTCTATACGTTGTAAAGTATGCTGCCATTCGTTTACGATTTGCCAAAATTCATTTTCCCTGCGCAGTCAAACCATTACCGCAGTTGACTTCTCTTTCATGGTAAACATACGGTGTATGGGTTTGATTATCATTACCAGAAAATACCAAGTCAGTGTGTCTATATTAATGGTCCATGCGAAACGTTGTGTGGTAAAAATAACAATACTTGTCCAGCCGCAGTACACTTTCGGCGTTACATACGTCATACCAGCCGAAGGAAGCCGGACGGATGAGATAATTGCCAGGTTACCCAAGCCTGGACAGGAGCAGCCGAGTTGACGAAGTTGGGTTCAGATTATGGGCCTTCCGGCCACTAAGTTCGCGCTCTAGTCCCTGGGCTATTTTGAGCTGGCGTTGTCCGTTGATACAGTGCCATTCGTTTCCTTCCAGTTAAAAGGATTCCACCTGACTCTAGCCACAACGACGTTTCCAGGAAGAAACGTCTAGTAATGCATTCACTAAATACACTAGCTATAGGGACGAAGGCATGCCAAGACAGAGCGAAAAATGTTCGTTCTCCTAAAAGCTTGACGCTTCCTAGAATTAAAGCGTTTTTTGATATCCATTCAGGCTCGCGCTTCGGGGGATTCATTGTTTATAGTACGAACAGCGCAGGCAAAGATAGACTTGTGGGAAACTCCCTTCAGAATGTCTACTATATGCATCTTGCTTGTTGTGGTTTTCATGTTCGCACCTCAGTTGTGATTAACGTTGTGAAGGAATTTGTCAAGCTTATGCACTTCATCGAATTTGTGACGGTCCTCTGGCTTCGACTGGTCTCATGGTTTCCAATGGTGTCGCTGGATGGACTGTGCAGCTTATCTCCATATAGCAGTCGGATTTGAGCAGAAGAATTTGAGGGACTTAACTGACTCAACTGTGGTAGACAGAGGTGATATGTAATTTATTTCTCATCCGAAAAATAATGAAGTATTCGGTGATCACTTCCTCGGATAGAGTTTGTATGCGGAAAAAGGACTCACGGTTTCGGTTTCCGAAAGACATCAGTTTGTCCATTTCGTTTGGGGAATGAACGACAAATGAGGATAGGTCTTTTACAAAAACGCCAATATCCGGGCGTTCTTTTACATCCAAGTTGGCTGTTTGGTCTCTGCCCAAAAGGTCTCGCACCTAGTGAATGGACAGAGAAAACATCACAATAAGCACACTACTGATATGTGGCTAGCAGTATGTGTAATGAACCAAACTACGTCCCAGAAATATACCTTCGAGGATAACCATTCAGAAAAGAATAGGCGGTTCGCCGGACCTTTATGAGTCCGGGGAAAATGGGCTTTCAGAACTACTTGAACTCCCTACCTGTTGTCACTTCTCCTGGTATTCACAAGTCAGGGACCACCATCTTCTCAGAATAAAAGGCAAGCGATCCCGAATGGGTATTTTACTGGAGTTCACGAGTAGGGTACACTTCCAGCGTAGGCGCTTAAAAGGGTGTTCCAGAACATTCATGCTAAATCACTCTTGCCAACCTTGTTTGTGGTTGAACATATCCTCCAACAGAAATCCACGTGTCTCAGTAACATTATACCATTCCCTTCTCTGAAATTCTCCATCACACTCTGTCCGTCTAATTGAGCCCCACGGATGAATCACGATGATCATCCGAAGATGGTAACAGTAACTAGAATTTCCTTGCTTTTTTCATGGAATGACACTGCAACATGTTTGTCGAAATGTGTCGGGAAACTGTTATGAACAACATTTAATTGGAGTACCTGTTAACATCAAATTAATTTGCTAATAGCTCCACGCGATGGTAGTCGAAAGTAGACATTGAAACTAATGAAAAAACGTGATAGGGCTTGACGTAGGAAGAGTTGAAGTGTACGAGAAATATGATAGAACTTTCTAAGTGTGAAACAACAGGCGTCCAGTATCCATCAAGAAGTACTCCCTGAACAACACCAGAGGAAGAGATTGAACAAGCTGATCAAATCAGATACATAGAGCAGGACTTTCTTGATGGATAGAGTTTGGAATGCCGTGGTACACTTGACATAACTTGAGTGATCACCTATTTTTGCGAATACTGTCCACTAAAAACTCTTCAGATAGGTGTGCGACAGCTGGAGTTGAGTTAGCTTTGTGACTGAACTCTCCGGGATGGACATCGTTTCACTTAGATGCTCGGGGTGGGTAGGTCTATGTGAAATCAGTGAAAGCGATCAAATAAGTGAGAGAACAATTAATTCAGACTTTCTGGACTATCTCTAGGCCCTGTGGCTACCTGTGGTTACACCCACAGAGTTGTGCACAAACAGCTAAAAAGTCGTTAAATCTATCAGCCTCACACGATCAGTAGGCACTAGCAGGGAATGCTGTGGGCCAAATGCCCACAAAGGACTCATCATCACCATCATTGTCAGCTGTAATAACCGCGTACTTGTCGTACATTAGTTGCAGGTGCCACAGTTTCGTTCAACGATGATTCGGGGAAGTGAGGTAGGTAGCTACGCATTGGAGGCGGGAGCTGATAAATCAGTGCGTAAATGCAGCACTGTAGGTAGACTGTTAAGTGGGGGAAGTGGAAAGGGAGCTATGCGTTGAAGGCAATAGCTTGGATGCACGAGCGCCATTGAGAACGCCACTGGACCATGTCTGACAATGTCTCAAACCATTGACATGACCCGTCTTGGAGTTCCCATCCAGGAAGGCGGCAAAGACCAGCGCAGCTGAGTTTGCTGGCAGTGGCCTCCATACTTCGCTGGCAAGTCATTGTTTGATCGCCTCTGGCTCACTTCCAGCCTTCACCTGGTTGTGCAAAAAGAGCCCTTCGAGGAAGTCGGTCTACTGGCATAGGCAGAACGTGGCTAAGCCAGCGCAACCTGTGCAGTTTGATCAGTTCATCTATCGAGGGTGAGTTATTTCTTCCGAATACCAGTAGCCGACTTCAGAAAAACACCTACGTTCACCAGCCCACAGGGGTTTACCTTGAACAACATAAGGAAAACACGGCGATTGAAACTATTCGATTGCTCTAGTCACCAATGCTGACAGTGGCTTTTTTAATTCCGCTCAAAATGATGCCTTTGATAAGCAAGAAAATGTTGCAACCCCAGCCAGAGAAATCTCGCTGTTATTTCTTCATCATCATCCAGGTTGGCATTTTCGGTAGGTATGCATGTGTGTGCGTAGTAATCCAATGGTCTTAAGTGGCTTGGGAGACAATAAGCAGACGCACTTTTTGCCTTCAGTATTGTCGACCTTCCAGACGGTCCTTGGTGACTCTATTTGGAGGATCAGGTACCCGTGTTCGTTGCACACGTATGACCACATGCACACGATCATTTGCCTGACATCTGATCAACATTCCCCGTGGTCGGAATGAGTGAATGAAGAAATAAGTTCAATAACCATTGAGTCAATGCAGTTGTTTTTTTTGGCAGACAGCATGACATTGCACTTAACGGTGGGGGAATTTCCGTCCACAGGGTGAAGAGTTACGTGCATCACATAGATGAAATGCATCACTTAATATCTCGATCTCTAGGGAGACCACCAAGGTCAGAGATGTACTTTCTATATGCATTTATCACGCTTGTAAAGATCTTGCGAAGTAGACAGTGTAATCCGTAGCTATTACTAGAGTAGTGTGGGAATCAGGATAGCTATGAGGATCCACCTACTGACAGGACTTCTTTCACTACTTGTGTTTCCCAGAGGAGCGTCTCGTCTGCAATCCCTTATTCGACTTCATCGATTCCTTTTGATAATTTGGTCGTGAGAAGAACCACGAGAAAATGTCTGTTTGAATAGTTTACGCCTTACGAAAAATTTCATTTGCACTCTCTCCAGGTTTGTCACAAGTACGTTCTGTCTCGGCTACTTCGGACAACAGAAGAGCTATAGATGGACATAAAACTTTACCAGCATACAAGAACTGTGGTATGGCTATGCATTTCCTACCTCTTCGTTGTAGATTTCTAGATAGGATACCCGGACGAGGAATCGAGTGTTGTGGTCCGCTTTCGCAATAGCTCCAAATATGTGAGCAAATGAATTTGGTATAATTCCTCGAAGTTCCGGCACAGAACGAATTCCCTCCATTGTGAACGTTTTCCCCGTTCCAGTCTGACCATAGGCGAAAATTGTCCCTGTTTGTTTATTTCATCAAATTCATCGATTGCCTCTTACCATTGTAGCCTTCAAGAACCTTTTCCACAATTGGTCGTGCAACCTTATTATACAAGTCTGCTTGTTTGCTCTGTATATCAAACACAAAGTCAAACGTGAACTGTTTTTGCGGTTCATCGCTGCTGTGTGTCATCTTGCTCAAAACAACACTACCGGTAAGTTCATCAATCTGAAGGAAGCAACAAATTCAGGCGGAGGTTGTGGAAACTAAGTTACCATGGTTACTGATTTGCAGCCGGCAGCCAGTTCTTTCTGGTTTAAAGGGCGACAGCGTACAGCAACTTTGACATTGTCAGAATCGTCAGAATGTTTTTTGTTCAGTGAAGGAGTACCATTTGGCGTGATACTAACCATAATTGCCACACCGTACGATCACTGTTTATAAAATATTTACAGTACACCTCGTTCGCGTTGACGAACAAAACTACCTGGAACGAAGAGGATCAGAGAAGTAGATGAGTGGCAGTAACAATATAAACAGTGTACAGTTTCCCATGAGTACATTTTTTAAATATGACGCTATTGCTGCACTTGTCGTTTCCTCCAAAATAGTCCTCTCTTGCGGACAAACAGGCGTTCCAACTAAATGACTTGGAGAAACACTTGTCGGATTCGAATTCAAGTGGATAATCGCAGATTCCAAGAGAGTAGGTAAGATAGGGTGGAATTGTGAGCATTTTAAGCCCAACAGATAGAAACCAGGAGATCACACGAACAGGCATGTCTGTGCTTGAATAATAAAATACAAAAATAATCGTTCAGTTGCAACACCCTTTCGGTGCTACCCGAAGGAAGTACGAAGACTGAGATACCGTCAGGTGGCCCATGCCTAGACAGGAGAATTCGAGATGCGGAGGTCGGGTTTGAACCACGTACCTTCCGGTAAGTAAATTCGTGCTCTACCCACTAAGTCATCTCGCTCCCCTGTGCTTGGGTTAGAAAAGTGAATTTTGTGGCAATCCAACACGGCCGGAGAAGGACATACTGGACCGCCTCGAAAATTCCGAGTTTCAGCTATCGAGGTTTGGTCACCATCATCGTCATCAGAAAATCAGCAACAGTGGCATCGGCGGTGGCACATGAGTGATAAATGCTGGTGCTAAGCTATCTCATAGATATGCGAGCAATGTCCTGATAAATAGCAAGAGACAAAAGGGAAAAAGGATCAACTATAAGAAACCTTACGTCCCTATGGGAAACGATCACTAACGAAATACCTATACTTTGGTAGAACAATTGAGATAAACGTATCTGGGTATTATATCGAAGCAAGATGTTATCAGAGGAATTTCGCTCTTTGCGAACTTCATCCGACTTTAGCTTACTCTATAGGAGCAGATAAAATTAAACTGGATATTCTGACAAGAAAGTGAAGGCACGGTTAGATGCTATGCCCTCTATGGTTTCCAACCACGTACAAGAAGAGTCACGTGAATCCCGACCAGGAAAGCACAAGGATCTTACATCACCCAGCTTGACAACAAACACCACTTCTTGGTGCCAGGTAATGTAGTGCCCTACACGATCCCTTCACCANTGAAAATACTCTTTCTCTGGTAGACGGTGGCTGAGTACATGTGTCAGCGAAAGTAGCCACCAAGAGCATCCAATCGTTTGAACGAATTGGACCAACTCTATGGACTATGGATTTGGTTTTCAAGCAAAAGCCTAAACAGCATTTAAGAGAAGGAACACTACTACGTGTGTAACCTGACTCGGTAGATCAAGCTGTCAAATGATGAGTCGATAAATTACAGGCACTTGGGGACAGTACATAGCTAGCCCTAATTAATACGATGTCAGTCAACTCGGTCAGAAACATAACGTATGTTGTCTGAGTGCCTGTCCATAGGCTTGCATCCGGGATGACTTTTGATAGCTCTAAGTAACCTAACTTTGAATCACTCTCCAAAATCAATGCAATTTTGGTGTCCTGGCCATATTTTCACCTTATCACATCCAGATCGGTATGACTAGGTTGCGCCTTGACTGAATCAGAAACAGAGGAGCTGAATAAATTTCATTATTTGCGCGCGCAATATTCGAAGTTTAACCCTTCTGAGCAATACCTAAGTGGTTGAGACCAAAAGAGAAACTCTTCTTAAAGAGTTGTTGCCGATCGACAACCAAGATGATATCTAAACACACGGGCCTTAAATGACGAATAATGGTCACTATTCGTGTGACTTAAGCACAGTGGTTATTTCAATTTCAAGTAAAGAGGTCGTCATACCTTGTGTATACCACAGTCTCCGATCAAATTGGGTATGGGATTTGTGAATGACGACAGGTTCCCTGCCGAGAAAGGCCGAATAAATAACAGAACGGATGGACAGGCTTGCAATAAGAAAATGATTAACTACAAGCGTCAACTGAGATAAAGACAACGTGGGTTCTGAGTGCTTGAAGTTTAAAGAAGTGTTGAGCGTTCTTGTGAAGTCACTGTCATTCTTCCAGGGCCATAATTAAAGTGTTTTCGCAAAGGAATATTTATCTTTCACTTTCGAAGATTCGGGAAACACGTAGTGACAATGCTAAACCCTATCGGTAATCTGTTTTGCCCAGTGGTTCTAAATCATTGTTTTACTTGGTGTATGCAGTCAGTTAGCCAAGCACATCGCACTGCAGAGTTCATCATTCGTTAAGATTCGTTCCTGTGCATTTTTGCTATATGCAAACATTCTGCTCTCTCTTGGGATTTGCCAAGGTTGACAGAAATCCGATAATCAATGGGTCTCACAGTCGACGCTCTCCTAGCTTGATTTAACAATGTTAGCCTCACAAAGTCGTGTTAGTAGTATGTGTTCGCATATACGGGGTTCAGATACGCTGCCATTCCACTTCACTCTGATTTCAGTAGCGACTAATCTCGTTGATTGCTCACCGATTAAGTAATATCTTAGCACACCGCTTTGTACGTATTGTATCGTATTTCGACCCGGGTAGCCCGGTTGTCTGCCCAGGTCTTACCTTCAAAGTTGTGCATTTTCCGTACATTCTGGTCATGAGAAAATGCGGCAGCTCTGCACTTTTACATTTCTACTCATCCAGTAGGTTCACTGAAAATAAATAACTCTATGCGTTATTGGAAGCATTGATCATGGATGACTTGATGCCACTACCATCATTGCTGACAAATTATAGTCAGCAACTGTGCTTGAGATGGTTCACACGTTGAAGCGCGAAATTACTGGCCGGGAGGTCTGTGTTTCGAATTCAACATCAGCATCCCGAGTCCCTCTCCATGGGCTTAGACAATCTGGCAGTATATCTGCCCCCGTGTTTCCTCCGAGTGACAGTTGCAACTCAGCAACTATTATTATTATTACTATTATTAGTATTAGTATTAGTATTTTATATCCGACAACCAGATAATGTAATCTGAAAAGAGATACCGACTACAATTTTGAATGTGCTCATACTGTGTAACTAGGAACGCTTTAGACCAATCGGACGTTGGATTCACAGAAGCTAAGATGCCCCAACAGTTTCGGAAGTGAAACTGGGAGTGTTACAATGTGTCAGAGATAAGTAAATTTGCCAACAGCCACACAACCCTTGAAGACAATACAAGTTAGACGATAGTTTAGAGTGAACTGACTCCCATAAGGAAGGCTTCAAAATGAGTTGGCCGTGTGCATATTGCTCACTGTGGACGATCCAATATGAATATACTTCGCTATCTATTATGACCAATATATGACACTGGCAGTCTGCTTGGATTTTTCAGTCAAAGTATGAAGGAAACTTTGTGTAGCATATTGTGTCGATACGCGTCTTACAAAATTCTATCTCAGTTTGACCGTGTTAGGTTTACTGAATGTAGAATCATCGAGAAGAAACCAACGGGAATAGGGATGTCTCACTTATTTTCTTCCTGTAAAACGCTAAAATGTGCACAACTGATAAGGTTGCTTCATTCTTTATTTACGATTTTTTAAGTGGATTCATGCCTCTGACGTGAGCTTTCATCCTGCGATGGAGTTTTACTGCCAACCCTCCTTCCCGTTACCCAACTACCGCCCAATAGAATCACATGGGTAAGGGAATTCAGCTACCCCCAGGAACTCGGGTTGCACCAACGTTGGTGTAGAAAAGTCAAGCGGCAAGAATGCGCATTGTTCTGATCTTAATATAGTAGTTTCAAACTAAATACAAAGTGATGAGTGATGGTCGTTTTTGAAAGTTGTGAAACAAACCAGAAGGAAGAACGGAAACCGTTAATCGATGCGGCCATGCAGTAATTAAGGGTTTCTGGCATATGTTCTCTTACAGTAAAAAAGACAAAAGATTCTCACTTGATAAAAAGTACTTCCTAAATCAGATTTCTGAATGGGATGCGTTTGCAATCAGTGAAACGCAACAGGCGAGTGGACATAAATTCGCTTGTCAAGGTAAACCGTTCGGAATAGAAAAATACCACATCTATCGCTAAGAGCTGTTCACTCTGTAAAAGATGGCTGTAAATTTAAATGACATACCAGATAAGACAGCTCCAGATGTTTTAGGTGACAGTTTTGATCCTTTAACTCAGAAATCAGACAAGAAACAAACAAAATAGGCCGTAGCGAAGATTTAAAATTCCCATTTGAGTGTATTTCCGTCCCCAATCAGATGCGGATTAGCAGTTCCCCTTCTGATGGTTTTACTTAGTTGGGTTTATATAGGTTAACCTCTTTCGCTTAATATACCCGTTTGCACACCAATTTGTTTTTTTGGCAATCAGGTGAATCTTGACTAAATCTATCATTTATAAGATTCTATAGCTGTATGAGGTGCACCAAAGCCGCCCCACTTCTCTGTTGATAAGGTATCTGGAGCATTACAGTGTATCTTGTTGAAAATCCTACTCACATGGTTGCTAAAAACCCTTTGACTGCTCAAGACAGATTTTCTCCTCTTTAGAATATCATTAAATGGTTTATTTTGTGAGCATATACTGTGACATTTCGGACAGCATTCCAACTGAAACATGAAGTAGCAGTTGTGTAGCACATTTATTTGAAGAAAACTGTCGTAAATGCGAAATTCAGCTGGATTCAGCTGACTTTAGCCAAATCGGTGTGCAAAAGAGTATAGTTCTTGAGGTTCGTAAAATATGCGTTCAAGTATAACATAGGTATGACAGAAATTCAGGAACTGCGCGTATTCGATGAGCCATAACATGGGTTTAACATGTAGTGGGCCGTTGAAGGATTTTAGCAACATTATGAGTAGTTTTCTTCGAGCACTCCTAATGTTCATACCCGAAGAGTGGTTGAGTACAGGCATTTTTGTCGTCTCAACACGCAACATTGTATGTTCGCCTTGGGCTATAATCCTGTAACAGTTATTGTCACCGCCACTACCGCAGA